CCTTGGTGCAGGAACTGTGATTGATAACAAAATTTGTCATCCTGGGAACTATGACTTTTACATGTGTGCACATGCTGGAATGATAGTGAGTATTCGAAGTTTGTTGTTACTTTTTATCACTGCTATTTTTAACGTGGTTTTATTACTTTTGAATTTGACCTTCTTTTTTTTTTTACTGTATATAGTGAATTCACATATGCATAATTATTGATGCATAAATGTTGTTTTTATTCAGGGTACTAGTAGGCCTACACATTATCATGTTCTGTTAGATGAGATTGGGTTTTCAGCTGATGATCTGCAGGAACTTGTGTACTCATTATCATACGTGTAAGTTGCTGTTTTAATATATTATTATTTATTCTCTTGACATCTAGAGTCGTTGGAATAAGATTTTTTTACTTGTGACAACAGGTATCAGAGGAGCACCACTGCCATATCTGTTGGTAATTTGTCACTCTATTTTTTTTTTCTTTATTTGTTTATTTGTTCTGGTTGTAAGTGTGCCTAATTTGGTGAATAAACTTCTGCAGTTGCTCCAATCTGCTATGCTCGCTTGGCTGCTTCTCAGATGGGGCAGTTTATGAAATTTGAGGAAAGATCGGAGACAGCTTCTAGTCATAGTGGTGCTCCCCCTGTCCCTCAGTTGCCTATATTGAATGATAATGTTTCTAGCTCTATGTTCTTTTGCTGAGGAAATCCTAATGCTCCTTTAGAAAGGAAACAGGGATGAACTTTTATGCTGTTTAGTTGATTATTGCACATTTTGCTCTTGTGTTTACATGTGTTTAATCTTTTACTATTCGTCTATTATAATCAACTACTTGCACACATTTTGAATATAGCTGGTTAATATCTTAGTATTCATTGGAAAATATTCTTGGTTTTTCGAAAGTAATTTTTTTCTGATTGTCAGAAAATAAAAGTACTTTTGAAAACAATCATAACAAGATAATTTCCAGAACTACTGACAAACAAGCACTAGAAAAATGCAGCAGGAGTAGAAAGGCAACATTGGAAAATCATGTAGCAGAGAGACATTTCCTAGGCATGCTATCATACACATCAAGGCCTGACTATAACATTGATAAGAAGCATTTTCTTCGACATAAAAATAGGAAGAAGAGGCCAAAAAAATTATGCATTATGATCTAACTGTAACAAATCTAACTTGTTGAATTACTTTCTTTATCTTAAGTAGAACAGGAATGTTTGGTGTTAAAATAATATTTCAATAATATAGTTGAATCTTATAGAATAATTTAGAACATCTCCAATGATCCCATATAAAAGGTTTCAACATTACATATTTTGTTTCCTATTTTGATTAACGAGGTGTCTAGATCCACTGTAATGGCTCAGCTTTTTTGAACTTCTTAAAAGCAGAAGTTCCTCCAATAAGCTACAATACAAGCTCCATTTTTTTTTTTTTTTTTTCACTAAAATAAAGACACTCCATTTTACCAGTTTCATAAAACTAGAAAACGGAACACAAGCTTTAGGTTATCCTAAAATTCTATTCGGTCTAAACTGGAACACAAGCTTTCCATATCTCCTTCTTTCTATGTTCATTGTATCCACCAAATACAAACCATCATAAACATATGAGTAATGAGAATTACTGCTACTGTAACTGAATGCACCATCAAACTTTCCAAACACTTTGAATATAACTCTCACCGGACTTCTAGCTTGCATGCTATTTTTCAGCGCCAAATTTCCTCCTTCCAGTTTTTGATCACGAAGTGAAACTTTTTTCCCAAAGGCAGGATTTCTTCCTTGACCTTCATAAACCAAGGTACCATTAGATCTTCTAGAATTATCATAGCGATATGTTACCACAATGCTTGTGGCCAACGTGCTGTTGTCCATTATCTTATAATCAGTTCCATTCTAAAACTGTCTATGGAGTTCAAGCCTCCATAGGTGATATTTTTCAGTACTGGCTTGAACTCTATGTCATTGGCCTCCATATTCAAAGTTTGTGGAAAGCTTGATGGTGCATTCAGTTACAGTAGCAGTAATTCTCATTACTCATGTTTATGATGGTTTGTATTTGGTGGATACAATGAACATAGAAAGAGGGAGATATGGAAAGCTTATGTTCAAGTTTGAACTGAATAGAATTTTAGGACAATCTGAAACTTGCGTGTCCCTTAAGGACCATAGCAAGGTACCATCTTCTTGACACCTTTCTTCAGCATAATTGGCTTTCTCTTCGACTTTATTTTTGTTAGGGGCTCTACATTCAGAAGCATAATGTCCAAACTTATCACAATTGTAACACTTGATTCGTGTCTTGTCATACCTTGAATTCGGATTTCCTCTCCCACGACCTCTGTTAGAGCTTTCTCCTCTTTGGTTATTGTTGTTAGGCCTTCGTCCTTGTCCACGTCCATATGCATGCCTTTGTCCTTGTTCTTGACTATAACTTTGCCTTTATTGGTTGTGTGTATTTTCTTCTTTTCTTGAATCAACGTGTGCCTTGAGGACTTGCTCCATGATCTCTTCCTTCTTCTTTTTCTTTTCTTCATAAGCTTGCAACGAACCAAGAAGTTTCTCTATTGACATGGCCTCCAAGTCTTTTGTTTCTTCGGTAATGGTGACAATATGTTCGAACTTTGGATCTAATGATCTAAGAATTTTCTCCATAATTCTTACATCATCTAGCTTCTCACCATTTCTTTTTAGGTTATTAGTAACCATTAAAACTCTTGAAAAGTAATCAGAGACTAGTTCACCTTCCTTCATATGCAAAGCTTCAAACTCTCCTCTCAAAGTTTGAAGACGTACTGATAGAAACCTCCCACAACGAACCTAATCAAAATCAAAAAAAAAAAAAAAACAAAAAAAAAAAAAAAAAAAAATAAAAAAACAAAAAAAAACAAAAAACCACCCCCCCCCCCCCCCCCCCCCCCCCACGCCCCCCCCCCCCCCCCGCCCCCCCCCCCCCCCCCCCCCCCCCCCCCCCCCCCCCCCCCCCCTGCCGCCCCCGCCCCCCCCCCCCCCCCCCCCCCCCCCCCCCCCCCCCCCCCCCCCCCCTCACCCCACCCCCCCCCCACGTCCTCCCCACCCCCCCCCCCCCCCCCCCCCCCCCCCCCCCCCCTCCCCCCCCCCCCCCCCACCCCCCCCCCCCGCCCCCCCCCCCCCCCCCCCCCCCCCCCCCTCCCACCCCCCCCACCCCCACCCCCCCCCCCCCCCCCCCCCCACCCTCCCCCTCCCCCTCCCCCCCCCCCCCCCCCCCCCACCCCCCCTCCCCCACCCCACCCCCCCCACGCTCACCCCCCCCCCCCCCACCCCCCCCCCCCCACACCCCCACCATTCCCCCCCCCCCCCCCCCCACACAACCCCATCACCCCCCCACCCCAACCACACACCCAACCCACCCCCAACCACAACACCACTCCCAATCCCCCCTCCCCCCAACACACACCACCAACAACAACCCCACCCCGCCACCCCCCCCCACCCCAACCACAGCCCCCCCACCCAAAACAAAAAACACCCAAAACACCCACACAACCCACCACCCCAAAAAACACCCTCGCAACCCCAACACCAACCCCACATACCACACACCAACCCACACCAACACACACACACAAAAACAACCCCCCCAAACCTCCACCCACAAACCCCAAAAACAAAAACCCCCACAAAAACAAAACACCAAACCCCCACGCCAACAACCCTCCCTCACCCACAAAAACCCAACCCACCAACCACCCACCACACCCCAAAACCCCCAATCCAAAAAAAAACAAAACACAAACACCGTGACCCCACCACCCACAAACAACCACACCCACACCACCCCCCCCCCTCCCCCCACCAAAAACACCAACACCAATTTACATAGACTGTTACCCCACCAACTCACAACCAACACAAACCCACCCACACCCCACCCACACCCCCGCCCCCCCCACCCCCCCTCCCCCCCCACCCCCCCCCCCCCCCCCCCCCGCCTTACCCCCCCCCCCCCCCCCCCCCCCCCCCCCCCCCTCCCGCCCCCCCCCCACCCCGCCCCGCTCCCCCCACCCCCCCCCCCATCCCCGCCGCCCCCCCCCCCCCCCCCCCTCCCCCCCCCACCCCCCCCCCCCCCCCCCCCCCCCCCCCCCCCCCCCCCCCCTCCCCCCCCCCCCCCACTCCTCACCCCCGCCCCCCCCCACACCCCCCCCTCCCCCCCCCCCCCCCCCCCCCCCCACCCCCACCCCCCACCCCCCCGCCCACCCCCGCCCCCCCCCCGTCCCAACCCCCCACACCCCCCCAAACCCCCCCACCCCCCACCACACCACAACACCCCCCCCCCCCCACCACCCCCACCCCCCTACATCCCGCCCACACCCCCCCCCACCCACACCCACACCCCACCCCCCCCCCCCCCCCACCACAACCTCCCCAACACCCCACCACCTCCAACCAACAACCCCCCCAACACCCTCCCCCACCCCACCCCCACCCCCCAACCCCCCCACCACCCCACCCCCCTAACCACCCCTCCCTCACAAACCCCCAAACCCCCACACAACCCTCCAACCACCATCACCCACCACTACCGCACCCTCCCCACACCCACACCAAAAACCCACCCCCCCAACAACCACCCAACCCCCCCATCACACCCCCCAAAACACCACCCCCCCCCAAACAACCCCCCCACAAAACCCCCCACCCACGCACCAACCCAACCCAAACCACAAACCACCCTCACCAAAACACACCTCCCCCCCACCCGCCCCACCCAACACCACCCCAAACACCCCACACACATATACACCCCTCAAACCCCACACACCGAGATTCCAAACTCACAACCAGGTAATGAAGAAAGATCTCTTTTTTCACAAAGATATCTGTATACAATGAACAATAGAGGCCTAACCCTCTCCCCAGGATAGAACCTGTCTAACAAACAATAACCAAAAGTCCCCCCACACTAACTCTCCTATTTATAATGGTTTCCCTCCTCACTTAACTGCTAAGGCAGTTAAGTGCCAGACGTTAGTAGTTTAAATCGCCAATCAGTTTGCCTCTTCTTCCTCTCGTAACCTACCCCTTCTTTCCCCTTATTCTTTCAAGGTCTATCACTACCCTTTTTGACTTGATCTGCTCCCTTGTAAGAGATCTTAAGCTTCTCCCATGCTTCCTTGGCTGACTTGACTCCAGAAATCTTCTCAAAAGTATCTTCATCTAATCCTTGATAGATTAGACAGAGAGCTTTCTTGTCTCTCTTCCTTGAGTCTCTCAAGTTATCCTTTTGAGCTTGAGAAAGACTCTCTAGATTCTCTGGCTCAATGTGGCCCTTCTCGACCACCTCCCAGACATCATGTGCACCAAGGAGAGCTATCATCCTTAAGCTCCGATTGTCATAGTTGCTCTTAGTGAGCATTGGGACTTGAAAGGGAACTCCAGTATTTGCCATTTCTATGAAGAACTTATGGCTCTTGATACCACTTTGTTGGGAGAAAACTTTAAAGGCTAGAAGGAAGTGTTTAAGATTGGGAGAGGTTGGAAGATTTTGAGAGAAGAGGAAAGGCTTGTATTGAGTGTTTCTAAACTTTTTTGGCTTGTTTCAAATGATACAATCATCCCCTATTTATACTAATGGCACCTCCTTAACCAATGGTTAGGATCTTGCCACCACAACATTCATCTAAGGGTTATAATTTATTCTCTAGAACTTTCTAAAACATTCCTATAATTCTAAACTTATCTAGAGACATCTTATGGATAAGCATCTCTAGATATTTTTGTGGAACATTCTAGAATCCTTCTAGATAGGATTTTCTAGAATGTTATTTGGGCTTTTACTAATATTGGGTTTTTATCTTTTAGG